GTGTGTAGATCTAATTGTCGTCACATTATGCCACATTTACACAATAAAGCATGTTTAAATGGAGGAATTTTATACCAAAGAATCCTGCGCGTTACACAAGTCACAGTGTTGCACACAATGTCATACGACAAAAAACTAATTTATACTAATTTATACTCAAGAAATACGTTGACTCATTTGATACCTTAGTTATTGGACACAGTGAAATTACGTGAGAAATATCATGCTCGTTCTTCTATAAATAAAATTTAATAAAAAAATTATTCTAAAAAAAAACAATTTTGTATCAACTTAATCTTGACTTCTAACATTTATGATGACAGCTTACGTATGCATATAATTACCTGGAAAATGTAATCGGTGGCAATAATGTCAGCGGCGTCCTTCGTACGCAGGCAAGCAATCAGTTCCTTGGAGCTTTCAGTAGGACAGTTCAAACGTTCAGCCAAGGCTTTAGCCTTTTTCTTGGCCCATCCCGGTTTCACAAAAGCCCATGGGCAATGACTTGTGCCGCTTTGAGAAATTCCACGATGAAACAGACCTGCATAGCGTGGAGAAACGTGAGTATTTTATTGCAAAACAAAATTGTGTCAATTACAGCAACCCGCAAAAGCACTTCAAACTGTCATTTCTGTACATCGATAATGAAATCTAATCGTAGATAATAAGCATTTTTATAACTTTTTTTGCACAAAAGTATACACATAGAAAAATATTATATTATATTATATTACATATTTTTATTGGTTATTACGTTATTTAATCTTTTATAACTTTAATTAACGTACTGGTTTATACTATATATAATTATATATAACTATATTGTGTCTACATCGAAACAAATACAATTGAAGTAAATACTTGTAGCAACCTATAAGATGTCGTAATGTTTAATTGAATAAAACTATTTGTTCTTCTTTTACTAAAACAACATTTTTTTCCACACATATAGAGAGATATATATATAATTATATATAATTTTATATAATTATGTACATAACCATTTTTACTTCAAGAAGTCTATATCATTCTACTGCTAAAAAAAGTCATTGTTTAATTTATTTTCTTTCTTTTAAGTAATGGTTTTCCTCAAAAAAGAATATATTCTTGATAATAATAATTAAATATGCTTATCAGAAACTTGAGAAAAGTCCATTATCATATACTCAAAAGAAGAATTTAATATTCTCTTTACAAGAATATTATAAAACATAGTCAAAGAAAAAATTAACTTAGCTCTATGTAGTGAGCAAACCAAATTTTTATTTTAATTTAGTATTTTTGATTGAAAAGCTAAACTTACTAAGATTCAGAATGTGTTTTGAATAAATTTAATACTTATGAGATAAATTTGTAATGGATTTGTGGATATACGAAATTATAAAATATTTGAAAATAATAATAAATACTTGAATGCAATTATGTATTCTTCTGTGTATATATATGATGTATTTTCTAACAGTTATTGACTAGAACCTCCTTGCAAAAATGTTTTAAAATTCATTGTTGTTGATTAGTACGAAACTAACGTGTTATGATAATGTTATGAAAAATGCATTCTTAGACACGTGAGCAAATGAATTATTAAAAACAGATTTTTTTAATTACAAATTCTGTACTCTCGATGTTTTATTTTGTTTTAAGATGATAAAAAGTAGCAGCGTGTAAAACTATGAAACCGGTTTGTCGAGTCTCAGATCTACAACACAGATCATTAACGCACATTAACGACTTCCGAGGAAAAAGAAAAAGATCACAGTTCTGACGCGTGTTTCGCAGCGCACGTTCATGGAAAATTCATAACACCGAGATGCGATGCAATGGAATTATGCAACTATTATGCAAGTATTATGTGTGCGGTCGATTGGAGCTAATGTTACAGTGACGTTACGCTCCGTGCGAGACGCAGAAATCGATGTTTGCGATAAAATCGTATCGACATATTACACATGTCTCCTTTGTTGTGCAATCGCTTCGATAAAAATTTCTGTGATTAGAACGATTAGCTGTGCTCTCGCGAGAGCAAGCGTATAGATTATATCAAAAATATTACTGACGGAGTGTAAACTTATTAAGATATGTCCCGAGGAAAAATTATCAGATAAACTCAACACGATACAGTCATATATAATCTCAAAAACAATAATAGCAAGGCCAATAAGAGCCAAACATCAAGTGGTAAAGAAGTTGTAATATAGTCGTATGTAAAGAAGTTGAAATTGAAGATTTAAATTTGCATTCGAAACGTTTATATTATATTATATATTTTTATGGGTTATTACGTTATTTGATCTTTTATAACTTTAATTAACGTGTTGGTTTATACCATATATAATTATATATAACTACATTGTGTCTACATCGAAACAAATACAATTGAAGTAAATACTTATAGCAGCCTATGAGATGTCATAATGTTTAATTGAATAAAACTATTTGTTTCTTCTTTCATTAAAAAACATTTTTTTCCACACATATAGAGATATATATAATTATATATAATTTTATATAATTATGTATATAACCATTTTTTCTCACGTCAGTGAACAGCATCAACAAACATGCACTGCAAAGTTTAATTATGAAATTCGTAACAAATTTTATTTAGTACGCTTAATATTCTTATATTCACATTTTCCAAATATATAAGATGTGTTTTGCTACTTGTGAAAAAAGTATTTAATTTCTCATAGTTGACAATACATATTTTGTATGTTTATAATTTTATACCTTATATTTTCTATATTTAGTGTAATTATTGATAAGTTTCTATACAAAAGTTAGTATATTCTAGTATAAAAATTTTACTAAAAACTCACCTTGCGAGAGAGGACTTATCATGTGATAATGCACACTTGCACCACCCGCACTTTCACCGAAGATGGTTACTCTATTTGGGTCGCCGCCGAAGGACGCAATATTCTCGTGCACCCATCGAATAGATTGCGCCTGATCCTTCATGGCTACATTACCTGGACATTCCATGTCCTCCGTGCTCAGCAAACCCAGTGGTCCAAGTCTATTGTAAGAAGTCTATATTATTATGCAATTATAAAAAACTGCAGTTCTATAAAAATTACTAAGAAATCCCTCTCAACTTCGGAGATTACATAAAATATATATAGATATTGTGAAAAAGAAAGAAAAGATATTGTGAAAAATAGAAAATATTTTCTTCCTTTATATACTGAGAGAAAAAATATCTAAAAAATAAAAAATCTTTATATCTAGTGAGTATTAATTAACATATATTTACTTAAATCTAAATTATTCTATTTAGATAAAGTAAATAATTACTTTCTTATTTCTTAGATATTTTTCTTTCAAAGTATTCATAACAAGAAAGATTACATGAACAACGATCGAATTTAAAAAAGACTGTAAGAGAATTTTATAGAAAATATTATTATAGGATTTTTTGTACACTGAGAAAAAATAGTTAAAAAATAGTAAACATTTATTTAGTAGATACTAACAACATACTTAAATTGTAGAATTTAATAATGTAAAATTTTCCAAATAAAAAATATAAATTTTCTTAAAACTTTAAGAACTTCCCTCCCTTCCTAATTTCTCATGAAAATAATTATTTATTCTATTTTAATAAAAGAATTTAGATTTAAGTAAATATACACGCTGTTAGCACCCAGCAAATAAATATTTATTAATTTTTAGATATTTTTTCTCTCAGTGTAACCGAAGAATATATTGACTTTCTGCAATAATTCGTTATCCTTTCATTTTATATGTGCTACTTATATTTTTGGAGCTGAAATGTGCTATTAAAACATCTGCTATGTTCCCAGCAAAATTTTGTATGTTACCCAGCAAGATAGACCTTACTAATAATTTATTCCTGAATTACTATTGAGAACAAAAGTTTTGCTCATTTAACAAAATACCAGTACATGCAACAAATTGTTCATTGATATGGTACAACAAATAACTCCCCCTTGTAGTGAAAACAAATGACTCGTTACTTTCAATTTGCTACTTTAAGCAATATTTCTGTAATGTAGAAACAACTAATCAAATCTAAATAGACCAAACTTAAATAGACGAGAATAAATGTGGCTTGTATTTCAGGCAACATGTTAAAATAATAAATGATGAGAAATTTTTAGCAACAGTAACTGTTCGATCTGTTTGCCTAGTGATTATCAAGCAGCAAACGTATTCTTGTCCTGTTAAACGAGAAATTATTCTCAGTGTGCTGAGAATATAGTAAATTGAAAAGAATTTATACGAAAAATGCTATAAATATTCTCTTCTCCGTATATTAGTTGAGCATTGTGTATTAGCATTATTACCGGTAGTTTACGGTGACCAAAATAACATCGTGGTCCAGCAGAAATTTGGGCCCATAGAAATCGGAATGACCTGCTCCAGCGAGCCATCCACCACCATGGAACCAGATCATGACCGGGAAACGCTGAAACGTCGCCGCCTCATCGTCGGATGGCACCTTCGGCGTATAGACATTCAAGTAAAGGCAATCTTCGATGCCTATGATTTCACTTTGATTTACGAAGACGTTTCGTTGTGTGCATATCGCGGCGTCGTCCTGAGCAAGTCGTACACCCTCCCAGGCGGCTGCGGGCTTCGGTGCCTTTCAAGAAAAATATACACGCACATACAATTAATTCCACACCTGCTTATTAGATTCACGATAACTCTATGTTTTCACAGCAAACTGATTTCACCGTTTTAAACACGAAACGGAAGTGACATTCGCATCAGACCAAAATAAGCAGATTAATTCTGTAAAATGAGAGGAGAAGGTTTGCTAAATCAACAAGTATGTTTATTGATGTGAGATCATATCCGAAAGATGCAAAACGGAAAAATTCCGGTACTGGACCAGGACGGCGTTGCTATACAATATCGCACGCACGATGCATTGTAATTTAAAAATCATGAAAAAGATGGTAAATAGAAAAGGAAGAATATTGGAACTGAATCAGATCGGCGTTGTCATCGTAGGGAAAAAATACTTGGAAATTTATGAGATCATAGTGCGAACAAATAACTTTTTACATTCAATCTGCTGCTTTCAACACGATTAAAATGTAATATTGTAATAGAAACACAACTAATTTAACTTAAATAGAAGAGAACAAATATGATTTATGCCTCAGGCAATATACGTTTATTAAAATGACAAATGATGAGAAACGATTTACAACAGTAACAATATTATCAAAAACATAAACAATCAAACATGCTATTGTTCTGATCATCGAGGAATTTTTCTTAGTGTAAAATGATATAAAGTAACCGTTTTTTATAAAGTAATATTTTTCATAAAATGAATCTTAAATGTGCAGTGAAATCGATATAGAATTCTTTCTCAACACAGGAACAAAAAGTAATAGTATTAAATGTAACATTGTGAGCAAGAAATCAACAGTTTGGATAAGTCTTTTTCTTCATCTTGACTGTCAAATTGATTTCATTACTATTATAGTGTACACCGTGCAATAAGTCATTATACAATTAGAATCATAATTACTAAATTATATTGCACCGCATTCACGCAATACTGTATATACTAAGAAAAAAATATTTAATGTGTGATATATAAAGTTTGTTCACACTGAAAAATAAACTTTATATTCTACAATTTCGAAGTATTTCTCTACCATAACAACACCGACTTGATTTCAGCATTCCTTCTTTCCCGTTTATTATCTTTTTCATAATTTTTAAATTACAATGCATTGCACGCGCGATCTTGCACAGCAATCTTGATCCAGTCCCAGAATTCCTCCTTTTTCGTTTTGTATCTTTCATAATCTGAGAAGCTTCGTTAACGGAGAAGTGTCGAAAACGGAGAAACAAATGATAGTCGTCATTCCGCATTATTGGCTTGATTTATATCATCAAAACGTTAGTACGCGTATTAAATTTGATGTGCACCAATAATACGCTTTAATACGGGTGCGTTTACATCGAACGTATTAAAGGAAAAATATAATACGAATTTAATTCATGTCGTTTACCTCCTAGTGGTATTTGGAATTGCAATTTGCTTGAAATAGCTTCGACCGACAGGAGGAATATATAATTCTAAAAATGTGCTCGTTTCTTCTTCTCTCCAATTTAACCCTTTTTTAAAAGATATTTTACTATAATTTAATTTGAAAGAAACCAACGATTACCGATAACACCAGTTTTAATTAGGTTAGGTTCCCTCCAACATTCGTTTCATACGTTTATTCGTCATTTGTATCATTTGATACGCGTTTAATTTAGTATGATACTCCTACTTGATACACTCGCACCAAATTGATTCGTCAGTGTTTATATCGTGCATATTAAATATTTAATACGAATTTGATACGATTGAATATCTAATACGCATATCAAATGCACGATATAAATCAAGCCATTATGAAGATAAATATGTCACAATAAATCGCGAAATTAAGCCTTTAAGAATTAAGTGGCAGCTTATGTAACATCAGAAATGAACCGTCGACCATATATGACGATATATGCGCGTAATTAATTCTAAAATAGGTGTCGAAGAGATAACGCCTCAAATTACGAGGGGACGAAAAATCAGTCAATTGTCGCAATAATATTTTGCTCGAGTATTAATCACGATAAACACGTGCCAATCTTCACTCGATTTTTTATGTATTGTTCGGATGACGACCAAGGAGACGAACTTAGTGATCAATTTATCAGCAGTCTATCGAATTGCGAATAATCGCTTATCAGATTGCGAATAAACTCGACCAAAATCTGTTGATAGCTTCATGGACATCTATATCCACATTCAACTCGTGCTCTGTCGACAAATCTGCTGGCATTCAACTCTGTCGACAAATCTGCTGGCAAAATCTAACGGTAAATTGGCGACAGAAAATGAGCAAGATCTGCAGTGCGTTCCATTTAAGTATCTTAGGCTCAGGTCAATTCTTGTCGTCAGTCTATCACTATACTCTGTCATCAGATTTTGCTGTATTTTTTTTTAGGATAGAGTCTACAGCAAACACTGTGCAATCTGCTCTTGCGAGTTTGACTACCTGGGGTCGTGGCAGTACTGAAAATCACGCAGTCGATTTAGAGTGTCTATTGTTCAAAATACCAATAGAATAACGAGTATAAATAGAAAATTCACGTATCTATGAAATAACATGCGCGGTTGTTTACATTCCTCGCATACGTCGTCGAGCTGCGAGATGTATTGTTTTTTGGCCTGCTCGGATGAGAGACGTACAAACGAAATGTATTTTTGAGGTTAGTCTCGTTATCCTGCTCATCCTGCAATGCACGCGAACGTTCTCGCTCATTATCGCGCTATATTACATATCATTTTAATCTCCATAATTTTCCGAAACAGACAATATACCCACCTGCCTATTCTTATTCGATATTGCGATTAAACTCTCGTAATACTGACGGAAAAATTCACGTCGTGTCATTTGAATGCTTGCCCACTTGTTCCACTTCGTGTCGTCGTTCGTGTTTCTTAAAACAATCGCTGTATGGCGCGACGTGTACTACTTGGTTCTTTCATACGGCAATTCTTATTACAGTTCGGCGTCCCTCCCGTTTCTATGTTTTAACAATGCATCTCGGGAAACTATCCGGTAGAAATACCAGCACCGAAATGACGCCACGGTCGCGAGGTCGCAGTATGAGGCCAGATCTACAATAGATGGAGTAAGGAGTAGGAGTAAGAATAAGACGAAATGAAAATAATTTATTCGCTTATTCCCTTATTCCAGCTCCTTACTTCAGCTCTTACTACTTAATTCAGGCTTACTCCATGTGATGTAGACGGGCAAACTTTATTGTAGATCTAAGCGAAATAAATTATTTCCATTTCGTCTTACTCCTATTCCTACTCCTTACTCCATCTATGGTAGATCGGGCCTTACGAGAGAATGAAACGAGTGTTTAGCTGATCGTCATGTGTTTCGTTCTCAATTATGCTCGCTCGCGCCAACTGTAAACCTATTTCGTGTATTTGATCGCTCGGGATGACAACCTTTAACGTCGATTAACTAATGCTGCAATTCTAAGCAGAATCGTAAGTCTCGTAACTTGTTCTCGTAAAATTCGTCAGAACTTATGAGTAGATTTATAAGACTATGCAATATCATGTCGTACAATTACTTATAAATATCGTAAATTACATGAAATCGTAGATATTTATAAGTAATTGTACGACATATGATATTGCATAGACTTGTAAATCTACTTATAAGTTCTGACGAATTTTACGAGAACAAGTTACGAGACTTACGATTCTGCTTAGAATTGCAGTATAAAACACATACAGAGTCAGATGGAAAAGGACCATGATAGGCCTGCAACCAAGAAGAAAAAGAGAAAGAGCTCGGGATGACGTCCAAGAGGACGGACACCGTGTTATGGGAATGTCAAAAATTGTGCAGGCAATGTAGACTGTCCATTGTTAAAAATTTCTATACAATACGACTCGTAGTATGCGTATTTGCTTACATTTTTCGCGTACGCCACGCTCTGTTTCAGTTGTTCGGATGGAAGGGGACGTGCATAAGAGAGTTTTTAAGGTTAATGTTGTTATAGATTCCGCGTTGGACACAAGAGAGTGCTTGCACTCATTATCGCGCGATACATAATTTATTTTTTCTATATCTATAATTTTCTAAATACTCATAATATACCTATCGTGTTACTCGAGATTACGATTAAACTTTGACAGTCAGAAAATTCACATATTGAATATTCGTTGCCTTGTGTTATTTCGTGTCGTCGATTGTGTCTCCTAAAATAATCGTTACGTGGCGCGACGTGTCGCTGACTTGCTGTTCGGTTCGTACTATTCCTGTTCCGCGTTTCTCGCATCGTAACAATGCATCCTGGGAAACGATCCGACGGTAGGAATATCTGCAACAACGGAAAGAGTGCCGGTCGTGTCGTCTCGTAGACGCAAATGATTAATCGGCTGATCGTCGCGTATTTCGTTCCAGACTTTATTATGATTCGCTTGCACCGACTATAAGCCTTTCTCGAGTGTCTGGTGTATCGCTCGGAATGACGTATAAGAGCACGGACACTGTGTTGTAGGAGTGCCCAGGTAATTTAGACTATCCATTGTTAAAAGTTCCCATAGAATACGACGCATAGTATGTGCGCGTTTGTTTACATTCCTCGCGTGCGCCGCAGTGTTTCGCCTCGCTCGAAGCAGAGGATGCGCGCGATAAGGCAGAACTTTATAGTTAGTATTGTTAGATCGCGCGATCGGTACGGATGTTTCGCGCTCGTTATCGCACTATTTTTCCATATCAATAATTTTTCTGAAGATATATATATATATACGATGCATTTATCACGTGTTATCACTGTAATTAACGTTTTGTAGTATTCATTGAAATTCACGCGTTCTTTGAACATTCGCCCGTTCGTCCTATTTCGTGTCATGTTTCCTAAAATGATCGTTGTATGGCGCGACGTGTCTTGCTATATTCGGCTCCTACGATTATTCCGATTACCGTTTCGTGTTCTTCCTGTTTAAACAATGCATCCCGAGAGACGGTCCGACAATAGGAATGCCTGCAGCGCCGAAAATGATGCCACGATCGCGTCGTCGCGAGTGAATAATCGGCTGATCGTCGTGTATTTTGTTCGAGACTTGATTATGGCTCGCTTGCGCCGACTGTAAAGCCTTTCTCGGATGTCTGATGTATCGCTCAGGATAATGTACAAGAGGACGGACACCGTGTTGTGGGAGTGCCGAAAATTGCGCAGGTGATTTAGACTGTTCGTTGTTAAAAGTTCCCAAAGAATACGACGCGTAGTATGTGCGCGTTTGTTCCTCACGTGCGCCGTAGTGTTTTGGTTCGCTTGGACGGAGGACGTGCACGATAAGGCATGGCTTTATTAGATTGTTAGATCGCGCGATGGATATGAATGTTTCGCGCTCATTATCGCGCTATTATATATTTTTCCATATCAATAATTTTTCTGAAGATATACACGATACATTTTTCGCATGCTACTTAACACTGCAGTTTTATAGTATTCACGCGTCATTTGAATATTCGTTTGCTTGTCATATTTCGTGTCGTCGACCGTATCTTCTAAAATGATCGTTGTACAACGCGACATGTTTTATATTCGGTTCGTGCGATTATTCCTATTACTGTTCCGCGTTCTTCCCATTTTAACAATGTATCCCGGGAAACGTTTCACAGCACCGAAAATGATGCCACGGTTGCCTCGTTTCACAGCCGCGAGTGAATAAAACAATTTAGCTGATCGCGTATTTCGTATTTAATTACACAGGCCCACAATTTAAAAAAAGTTGTCTGTGCTGGGGGTCTGACTAGGTGTACTATACGTATTTTGGCCTGCTGAATCCGCTGTCAGATTTGCTCCATCACCCTTGAGTTTCCCGGAAAATCGAGGAAATCGTGAAAAGGAGCAGATATCCAGGTTTTTACGGAGACATGTATTCAAGAAAAATTCTAGAGTGACGAATAATCCCATAACCCCACAACCAACGTTGAAAATACATTATGTACTTCAACATGGAAAACGAATCATTCTACACATCCCCTTACGGAGCAGTTGTCATCGTCTCCAACATCCTCTGAAGCAGCAGGATTTATCTGATCGACGATCATATATTGTAGAATTGATATTTCGAATAGAAAAAAGATTCCATCTCGTGGACAATAACATGAATGAGACCATGATAGAATACGCACAGATTAGATTTTCTAATCTATGCGATGTTAAAAAATTGATGGGTGAACTAAAACTGAATATATATGATGGTATATTGGTATATGATGGATTATTGGATTATTGGGTTGTTCTAGTCATCAGATGTTGAAGTATATAATGTATTTTCAACGTTGGTTGTGGGGTTATAAGGTTATTCGTCACTCTAGAATTTTCCTTGAATACATGTCTCCGTAAAAACATAGATATCTGCTCCTTTTCACGATTTCCTCGATTTTCCGGGAAATTCAAGGATGATGGAGCAAATCTGACACCGGATTTGGATTCAGTAGCCCAAAATACGTATAGTACACCTAGTCAGATCCCCAGCACAAACAACTTTTTTTAAATTGTGGGCCTGTGTTATGATTCGCTTGCGTCGACTGTCTCATTCGCCTTTCTCGTATCACTCGGAATGACACCCAAAAGAAACGTCGTGTCATGGGAGTGCCGGAAATTATGTATGTGATTTAGACCCTGTTCATTCTTAAAAGACCCCATAGAATACGATGCATAGTACGCGCGTTTGTTTACATTCCTCGCGTACGCCGTTAAACCGCGGAGTGTTTTGTTTTTTTGTCTCGCTCGGACGGAAGACGCGATAAAGGCAAGGCTTTAAAGTTAGTATTGTTAGATCGCGCGGTAGGTACATATCATTTCTATCTCCATAATCTTGCGAAATAGACAGTCCACTTGTCTGCTGTGTTACTCGACGATCAAGTTCTTGCGGTATTAATTGACGTTCACTCGTCAACTTGAATATTCGCTCAGTTGCCTTATATCGTGTGTCGTCTATCGTATTTCATAAAACACTCGTCGTCTAGCGCGACATGTTTTAACCTGCCTTTGGGTTCGATCGAAACGAAGAATCCAGCGATCGTCGTATAATGTGCCGTAACCGTAAAATCGTCGTGATTCGGTCATTTGCACTCGTCTGTGCCCAAAATCGGAATTGTCGTCGGCCGTTTAATACCTCGCGAATAACGCCAATAAATTGCTCTCGGGAGAGCAATTGAAAAATGCGCGATCGCGTTTACGCGTGTATAAAACCGAATCGTAACCGTATAAGTGAGTGCCATAAAGATAACATCGGGGATTCAGGAGAGCTCTGGATCATCGACCAGTGAGTACACACTTGTTCGCCATTTTCGTATTTGTTTTTACGATCGAGTTCAAAATCTTTTATCACTTTGATTCGTCAGAATGATTTCTGGTTAGATGAAATGTGACGTGATAGAAAAGTTCAATTTTTAAATACGCTTGTCTCTTTCTCAATTTTCTCACGATAACTTTTAATTCATAATTAGTATTTACGCACATTTACTTCTCTTTAAAATATTTTAAATAAAATATTTAATTACAAAGATTCGATTATTTTTTTATTTTATCTATTCAATTTTATCTTAATTATATGTCGTTCAATTTTGTGATATTCTTCTCGCTCTTATTATCGGGAGATTAAATATTTCGGGAGAAAAATTGATATTTCAGAAGTAGGACAAGATGCGCTGATAAGTGATAACAAGATATCGATTGCATGTAAGTGAATAACTTAAATGACTGGTTTTTTGGTGCATAAAGTATAGCAAGTCTGGACATTGATATCTAACTCTGCGCATTTTTATTGTTTTATTTTTTAAATACGTTTTTAACACGTTTTAAAAACGAATATTAACACTCCTAACGCAGAATATATATATACTTTTGTTACTTTGATCCGTCAGAATGATTTCTAATTAGACGAAATGTGACGCGATGCAAAAGTTTAATTTTTAAATACGCTTGTCTCTTTCTCAACTTTTTCACGATAATTTTTAATCCATAATTATAATTAATATTTACGCGCATTTACTTCTCTTTAAAATATTTTAAATAAAATATTTAATTAAAGAGTTTTTATTATTTCTTTTACTCTATCTATTCAATTTTGTTTTAATTATATGTTTTAATTATGTCGTTTAATTTCGTGATGTTCTTCTCGTTCTTATTATCGGGAGATTAAATATAAAATTAATATTTACTATATTTTATATTTTTACCGTCTATTTACTATTTATAATTGACTATATATACTTTTTATATTAAAAATTTAAATGTCATTTAAAGACAAAACAATAAGAGTGCCCAGAGTTAGATATCAGTTAGATATCAGGTTATTAATACCCAGGCATTGATACTTTTTTCTTAATTGATAATGATTTGATAACATTGCGTTATAAAAATTTGGTTTATTATTAAAAAACCTGGTTTTGCCATTTGTGATTACATTATATAAATTGTAGAATCAAAATAAAAAGACTTTTGTCGTATTTACGCACATTTATTCTTAAAATATTTTAAATAAAATATTTAATTTAAAAAATGTATTATATTATTTTATTAAAAATAGAAGCGATATTAAGGACGATGAAATAGCGTTTGTTAAACATTCAAAAGTTTAGAAATTTTATAAAACACAAGTATTAACGCAATATCAACTCATTATTGAGTAACCAAAAGAAAGAATCGAGATCGTAAACCAAATTTGTGACCTTTGTTAAATTTATATCTTTATGAGAATGTTCACATAATCGCTATATCGCGTGTATTATTGATAGATAGTGTGTATAGATTTAATTGATGCAATCAAGATAAATTATTTATGACAGTAATAAACTCGCAATATAAGTAAACAAATCTAAAACTTCAATCTTGACAAGAGATTAAAGAAAGACAAATATAAAATCAAAATTAATATACAAATGATATGTAAAACACTATTAACATTATTACTAGCACTATTATTAGTACTATTATAAAATATTATTACAAACAATTTTTATTATTTTTTTTATATTTAATTGTTTTGATCCATTATTACAATGTAGAAAACACGAATGAACAAATTGAGCAAAGCCTAATAAATATACATAAATATAGAAATATAATGTATATACAGAAAAGATCTTATAATAAAAATTACTAGGATTTTTTGTAGCCAAGGAATAGATTCACATTCTACAATAATTAATTATTTTTTTATTTCATATATGCTACTTATATTTTTAAGAATTATAAAACGTACTATTAAAACAGTTGCTGTGTTCTTAGCGAAATATGCTGTATTTCTAGTAAAATTTATTATGTTTTTTAGCAAGATAGACCTTACTCTAAAAATTTTTTGGAATAAAAAGTGGTAGTTCATTCGAGTGAATAGTGATAATACTATTACTCAAAATCACAAAAGTGAATATTTTACTCAAAATTAGAATTTGATTCTGACTCTGGAATTGGATTCCAACTCTATAAGCAATAACGATGTTTTAATTGATTGGAGTGTATTAGTTTACTTGATGGTGAAATGCATCAAATTCACTTTTCAATTTCGAGTAAAAATATTCACTCAATGATTCAGAGTGAAGAATTCGCTCTATAAGAATGAAAAATAATTCAAATTTGAATGATTCGGCTGTTACTCTCCTTTTTGTATAAAATTTCACTCGAAATTGGAGAGAGTCACGCGCACACACACACACACACACACACACACACACACACACACACATCGCTAGGAGAATACATTCTATAAACATCCGCTCATATAAAATTAAAATCCACTCTAATCTTGAATGAAACATTCACTCGTATGATTTCGACTGGCATTATTTTCACTATCTTCTCGAATGAAAATACTGCCACTTTTCATTCTAAGAAATTTAAAAATATATTGACAGTCTATCTCTAGACTAAAAACACAATAAAATTAAAAAGAATTTATATGAAGAGAAAACTATAATCTTCTCTCATTTTAATTCCTAAAATATAAATAGCACATATGAAGTAAAAGAAATAAAGAAATTGCAGAATGTGCATCTATTACTTGACTAAAAAATTCTATAGTAATAAGTGTATAAACTTTAAGCACTAAGAAAGACAAACATTTGGGTAATAAACGATTTGAGAAATGAAAAGCAAAAACGTGTATTACAATAGAGTGCCAAATTTATATTTCTTATGTAATTATACACACCAACACTCGAGAAACAGTGTCAAAATGAGATGGAAAATTAAATTTATTGCGTCTTGATTAAGGATATGCCGGATATCCGGCAACTATCCGGTATCCGGCCTATCCGGCCATCTTTTTATAATCCGGCCGGATAGCCGGATTTCACTAGTATCCGGCCGGATAATCGGATATTAATTTATTAGTATAAATTTGAAAGTTTGTGCCATTAATGCAGGATTCGAAATCCAAACTCGGGAAAGAAAAGTTCAGATAAAAGCCAGATATGGATTTTGTTAAAATCTGATCAGAATAATTCAGATATGATTCAGATCTGTCCATATATATAATCATATGTAATCATATATACAATTATATATGATTATATATGGACAGATCTGAATCATATCTGATTATATCTGATCAGATCTTGACAAAATCCATATCTGATTTTTATCTGTCTTGTTTCTATTTGAATAGTTCTCTATATTCTATTATTGATAGTGTGAAAGTCGGGTTTACTGAATACGAAACTCAGTATCAGATAATGTACATCACTGGATAAGCGTGATATTATAAAATTAGTAATAAGAAATGCGACGAGCATCCTTTGGTGCTCGTTAAATAACAAAAGCAGACTAAAGGAATACTTAATACATGTAAGATGCGATTAGCATGATCTTTCACGTTGCTCAAGCATTAAATTTTAATGACTGCTGGTTCAGTTTTTCCGATACATGTACAAAGTGCAGATTTGCATATACACGTAATAAAAATCTATTGTTAATATGTATGTATTTTACATTAGCTTAGTCGCAGTTATACAGATCATATTAATGTGATTTTATATTTTAGTTTTTGAATTTCCTCTTTACTATTGAACTTAACACTTATATTTAACACTGAAATTGTTCTTAGTTTGTTTTCCCATACACATTTTCGAGCAACCGTATATTTTTCACAAGATTTTGTACGCGTGAATTAAGTTTCGATTTTAAATTTGTTCAAATACTTAATGGAAATAACTTCAAGTTACTACTATTTTAAACAAATTATATCTTTAATGAAATTTTGTTCATGTTGTTATTTTTGTATTTCAATGTTGTAGCAATATGCATAGCGTTAAAAATATTGCGTATGAAAAACCGATATTTTCAAAGTTTAGCTATTGACGCAATAATAGCAACGCATGCAATATGTATGTGCAAATCTAGACAGTGCATCAGGTGTATTCGACGACAATGGAACGTCGTGCGAATACAAAGAGATGATAAAGTGCAACTTTTAAGAGTCCTACATGTCGAGGCTGCGCCTCTTTTTATAAGTACTTCGTGCTTGGAAAGAAGTATCGTGTTTAGTCAATTGCAACGTGGTTTTCTCATTTCCGCGTAGACAAGGTACGCGCAAGATGCAACATTACTCTGTATTAGCTTAGAAAAGTGGTATAGTTACCGTTGCCGTTCGAATTGCTACCGCGTTCGCGTAATTACGAAAAAAAAACTTACGATACCTGTATAATCCTGTGGAGGAAAAGTTGCTTTCTTTTAACGACATTTATGCGATTGCTACATACCGATTGCCACAAAGTTTCTGATGTAGTTTTTGTGACGAATTGTTGTGCGGGCCATTAAGAATCATTAAAGATACTACAGGGTATGTTCGGTTAATTAACACTAACCGGTTTCTAATTTTATATTTAGTTTTTCTAAATCATAAGTCCCACAAACCAGCTGGTCATTTCATACGCGTTGATAATTGCCTTTAAGCCGTCAAAGTAACAAGTCTTAAGTACTTTCTCGACATTACTACACACTCGTGTTGGAAAGAGATGGTGACGCCGGGTACGAATATAAATTATTCGAAGAGTAACTCTCACATCACGTATAATCAAAGTCTTAATAAATAAGCTACCGAGGATTTCTAAATTAGTAAGCCACAATTTCGAACCGTATTCTTATTTTAATTTTCAGCAATCAGCAAACTCTATAATTATTATGCATATTATCATAGCAAATTAAAATTAAAATCACAATGAAGAGATGTTTATGAAGTTTTGCGTGTCCTAAGCTTAATACGCGGAAGACCTTTGTTTTCAATTGTTCATTAGCCTATCAATATTTTTGTTCACAGAAACAGTAACGCATTTTAAAAAGTTTCTATATATAATATATATAGAAACCATAAATTTTGGTTATATATTTAAAGAATAGTTTGAATGTTTCTAATTTTCCGTTTTATGAAAATTAAAGATCAGTTAACCGGTTTAAATCTGGTAAAACCGGATTTGAATCGTGTTTAATTAGATTCGATTCTTAAGTCAGATATACTAAACTATATATGCATCTGAAGAAAAAATTTTACCTGAAATCTGAGTTCACCAAGCGGTGGCATGGCGTAGGGAATTCCTCGGAATCCGATGAAATCTTTTCCTCGTCTACTTTGCATTACCAGACCCGCCACTGTGCCATTTCGCGTTTGCGCTGTCGGTGCGCTGGCATATACCGCGCTGAACGCGAAAAGCAAAACGCAGCTCAGCAAAATCAAATTATTTTGATATTCCATCGTTTTTAATATTCGTGAAGTATCATGGAGGCCAGATCCAAGTTTTGTAATAATCTGTGAACAGTATCGCTGAAGTCGATATAAATTATAAACTGCAGGTGCAAAGTAAAGTGTTTATTCAAAGATAAAGATATAAAACAGATGCCGGTATGAATATCGTAATTATTTATAACGAATAAAGTCTTATTATAATTTCGTATACAAATTTTTCCGAATTATAAATAGGTTGGGCCGTTTAAAATAATAATTGAAATGAGATATTACGTTATAGGAGAGACCGGAACTAGTTGGTTATATCGAAATAAGTTGGTAAAATCGATTATTTCTACTATTCTTTAACATATTTGAGAATTAAGCAGGAATCTCAAAGCCATTTTTAACATGTTTAAAAGTCCTACTTGCTTAATTCTATAACTTATTATAAAATAGCAGAAATAAAATACACTGGTTTATTCAGAAGTGCTTGAATATGCGTAAGTTTATATACAATTGTAGAATAGAAACGGGATATTAAACACTCGAGCATTAGATACGTTTTCACATTATTGGTGGAGAAATTTACGCTAACGAAGAAATGACGCTTATAGCTTGATTTATGAGCAAATAATATATGATCATAGAGGAAATGAAATTATTGATACACCTTCATTGTATCTGCGAGATATCTACAGGGTGTCCCGTCACTACCGCATTATCTCTTAAGGGCGGGTTCCTGAAGTAATTTGAATAAGAAAATTCTAATACAAAAATGACGATGCTATAATACTTTTTAAATTATAAACGATTAAAGTTGATCAATTATATTGGCTAAAGTACGCGCGCTCAGGTACAGGTGCATGCATATAAGTGAGAATTTGCATAAGATATGAAATTAGTTGTAAATCCCTGAAAGAAACGTCAAATGTGTGACAGCTTACTGATTCTCTATAGTGGCGGAACACCCTGTATAATTTTCGCTATGTGCCTACGCTATGACTAGCATTAAAGAAACTGGTTTCATAATGTAAAATAGTATTATGTGAAGAGAAAAAAATTTCAAGTTCAATGCAAACGAAGAATTACGGGGGAAATCGATTTTTACTTCTAGATTCTAAATTAATTATCGGGTTATCAAGAAATAAAAAACAAATACACAAATTATTGAAACATGAATCAGCAAATTTGTCCATATTTTAATTTATTGCTTCATATTCCCTGCTCCGAATTAGATATTTAAAAATTTCAGTTATCTCGAAAACTTAAAACATTGCTATTATTTAATTTCACACTTTAAATACCTTTCTTCATTTTTTCTTAAAAAAGATATGGAGCAGTAGATGAATATTTTGTACATATACGTCTCTCTCACAAATTTATTTCATTATTTATATGTACACCTCGCGAAAATCCTATTTCAATAAATATTTTTAATTTTTTAGAAGTTTTATATAAAAAGATTTTTATGTAATTATACTTAGAGAAAAAGTCATGATGATGACAACTATGTAGGTGATAATTATACGATAATTTTATTTTGTATGTAGAATTATAATGTATATGGTTTAATAAACTATTTTGTAATTATATTGCAACTAAATATTTAGTTGCAATATAAATATAATATAATTAGTAAACTATAAAATAGTTTATTTAGCTGTAAAATAGTTTATTAAACTATACATTGATTCTACATACAAAATTGTAGTTAACACTTGTACAACTGCCATCATCACGTCTTTTCTTCTGAGTATATAACTTTCTAAAATGATCTCCTTGCAAGATGTTTACTGATCGTTGATACGATAGAACGGTTGAATCGTTCTCGTATCATAGACCAATTTCTTTCACGTTTTTAACACAATTATACTTCCAAGCACAAAAACAATCACAGTTAATTAAACACGCGCTGAAATATTAACTGCACGCAAAAGCAAAATCGTTTTATTCTCACGCAAAAATTCTGTTTAATGCTATCTAAAGAGCAATGACAAGACAGCACAATGACAAGACGTTATTTCAATAATAGAAAATGTTAGTAGTAGCAAAAATTTCGAAGCCGTTATTAGTTATTATCTCTAGATAAACGATGGACTTTTCATATAAAGATAAGTACCGTAGTTTCGTGGAAGTCAGAAAGCGCTCGTGTTCCTTTCGTGAAGGCAGGTTCAAGACTGTCGCGAGAGAGAGTTGCTCGTTGGATTATTATCGATCATAGCAAGTGACGTCACTTTCGTGAAGTATAACCGCGGTACATTATTTTTCTTCAACCAAGTTATGTCAACTGACTTTATTGTTGACTGTGTCGTGATTTGGATCGTGTTGATATGTTCAAGCGCACGCATAAATGTATATAAATTATTTTAAATTTTACGCCACAATTAACAACAATTAACTTACATAAAATATGTATTGACTTAAGTTCAACATTACGTAAGGGCCTTCGCTAATCTCTGCAAAGTATCTATTTTTAGTATGTAGTAGATTCATTAATTTAATAAAGAAAAAGATTTTAGCAACAATTTCATAAAATATAAATTAATAAAAAATAAGAAATAAAAATTTAACTTTTTCTACACGGAGAAAAATAATTTACTGGCCCAGAAAATTTTCTGCTAGTCTAGCAAAATCTTTTTGTTATTATATGGACAGCAAAAAGATTTGCTAAAAGTACACGGAAAAAACAATATGGTTAATCCATACAGAAATCTGGTTGTGCCAACCAGATTCAATAGTAAAATACGGAACAACTATTTATGTGGTTGCTGTAACCAAAGAGCAATAGCTGAGTTAGTTATGTTGTAACAGTGATAATATATGGTTAATACAAACGTGGCCCATTACAACTACAAATGTATACGAGGGTGGTCTGAAAAGTTTCCGACCTAACAAAGATACAAGTCATTTTTTCTGAAAATTGTTTTTTATTTTTCAACATAGTCTCCTTGTAAATCTACACACTTCTCCCAGCGATGCTCCCATCTCTGTAACCCGTCGAAATAGTACTCGGCGTTTTTCTCTGCAAAATAATTGTTCACGAAGGTGATTGCCTCTTCATTTGACGAAAATCTCTGTCCTCCGAGCGCAATTTTTAGATGAGGGAACAAAAAGAAGTCGCTTGGGGCTAGATCTGGTGAGTAAGGTGGATGGTCAAGCAGTTCAAACCGTAATTCGTGGATTTTCGCCATGGCAACC